ACTCTTATCCATACGTTTCACACAAAACCAGGAATTAAGAAAATTCAGAAATAATGAGACCGCCCAAAGATCATTCCTCCGTAAACCGTTTTGTACCTTCATCAAAATGGGAACTATACAAAAGACCATAGTCCCAATGCTTCTGATTTGGAGAGTTCAGAAACAGATGAGTGGTACAAACTAGGATTACATCACCTGATGTTAAGTACAGGAACCTCAGTAAGGATCTCAAACTACAATGTATACTGCTTTAAAACTGATCTACAAAGTGAAATTTATTTACATTTGTACTGGCTGTCTGTGTTGGATTTGATTAGGATGGAATTAATTTTCTCCATAGTAGCTGGTACAGGGCTGTGTTTTGGATTTGTGCTGGGAACAGTGTTGATAATAGAGAACATTTCCGTTATTGATGAGTAGCGCTTCCACAGTGTCAAGGCCTTTTCTGCCTCTCACACCGCCCCACCAGGGCGCAGGCTGGGGGTGCACAAGGAGTTGGGAGGGACACAACTGATCCTAGCAGACCAAAGGGATACCCTACATCACAGGATGTCCTGTTCAGCAATAAAACAAGGGGAAGGCTAAGGGGGAAGGCACTGCCCAGGGACTGCTGGGCATCGGTCAGTTCTGATTCTCTCCCTCATCCCACTGGGCAGGTTGCGGAGGGGGTGAGCAAGTGGCTCTGTGGTGCTTTAGTTGCCGGCTGGGGTTAAACCACAACACTGTCCTACAACACTGGGAGTACCCTGGGGTCTACAGTACCTATACCCTGTGGAAGCAACACTTAGATAAACGTGGCCTAATTTGTCTCTGTAGCCCTCTTTGGCTGTAGCACTGTATAGTCTCTTCCCATCTAAATGTAAGTAACGCAAGTAGTTTACAAAATCTGCAGGCTCTTACATGTTTCTGCTAGTAGCCTCAAAGATATTTCTCACATCACCTAAGTTACGACTTCCCTCCCCCTCAGCCCTTTCCTTTCTTCACAGCAGAAGGGTGGGAAGGTAACCAGGAGGCACCAAATGTTCAGGAAACCTATTTACAACCCTATGTAACCTTTGCCCTCACCGCCATATTTACCTCAGAAAAAAAAAAAAAACAAACAAACAAAAACAAGGGGGAAACTTTTAGTTTTAAGAATTTTATTATGTAGAAATTGTGCTGATATGTGTAAGCCTGCATCCTTCCAGGACACGGACAGCTCCATAAGTTGTGGTTTATCCTTATGTTCAAGGAAGCTGTGCATCAACTGACATACAACTGTCCCCTTATGGTTGAAAACCATCTTTAAAATATGCAGACACTAAAGCCTTATTCTCTTGGCAGCACTGAGTCCCACCAAAACATATTTAATGTCCCTGTACTCACTCACAAACCAAGCCAACTTTCTCTGCTAAGCAGACAGACTTCTGAACTGAAATGCTCTTTCTGCAACCCAAAGGTTGCAACACATGAAATTCAGCGATAATTAATTCACCACTGAAATCTGAACCATACATTGCAGACACACCCTGAACTTGTTCTTCTACTACAGCAATAGAATTTCAATGGTGAATCGTTTTGTAATATCCACTGAAATCTACCTTGAATTCTGAGCACCAAGATAAAAACTACTTTAACCTACCCATCCAACAAGAACTACTGTAACGAATGTGTCCTTGCGGCTCCATCGTGCTAGCTCGCTCGCTCTCTACTTTACATATTTCTAGTGAGTTTGACCCCAGACCACTAGATTTCGCTTGACTGAAGAGATAAAAGTCTTTTTAGTGTGCAATTTATCTTATATTGTTAAAAGAACAACTTCTGAAGAAAGGGTTTGTACAGAGTCTTTGCTAAGTTGAGGTCTTTTCAACCCCACTCTATGATTAAGGAAAAGTTACACCTATTTTTCAGTTGCTTTTCCCCCTCAATTTGAGCTCTTTATTTTGTGAGGTTTGCATCTTCATAAGTAGAAAAATCTGTTGTACTGTTGGGATTGACAGTTGTAGTTGTTGTGTTGGGATTACACTAAGAATGACAGCCACTGATAACACATAAGGAATTCACCTTGGTAAAAAGAGGAAAAGCTTCCAACCAACTCAGACTTTGGTGCAACAAGGCTTCAGTAATACAACACTGATACAACCCTGTATCAGTAATAACACAGACACTCTGCTGTAGTGTCCAATGAATCATTAAATATTCACATTAATCTCTGACCATGTGCCAGCTAAAGACTTAAAATCATTAAATCTTCTGATGTCCCATTTTCCTTGTTACATCCTCCTTCCCAGATAATGCACCTTGCAGCTCTCAAAAAAACCCAAACACCAGACAGCTGTAGATTCCAGGCTCTGGTATTAAATCAGCAGACCTGGATGCTTTTCTTAAACCAGTGAGCCACTTCCCAGTATTCTGTCCTCAAGTCAAAGCAGCATGTAAAGTTGCATTCTACCTTTCGAGATTTGGCAATATTTTCTGGAGGAGAGTCCACTGCAGATCTCAGAGTTCTGACTATTGGTGGTGACATTACCATAGCTCCTGGAGTTATTTTAAGGTCTGATCCATAACTAATAGGTACGTGGCCAAAGCACTCTAGATTCAGCTGCCGAGCAACTGTAACACAGCACTCCGCAGGACATCACTCCATCTCCCAGGATGCCTTAATATACCATGGTGCAAGTTGCAGCTGCTGGCAGCTAATGATGTTCACCTGCTTGCAGAAGCCCCGATTTACTTCAGTCTCAAATACAAGAAAAGCAATTCTCTACAGAGTCCTCAAATACTACATGGCCTGAGGAAATAGGTACTTGATCCATGCTGCAGAAAATGACAGCATAGTTCATTATTTTCAGTCAGAGGCTGAAATGCTTGTTAGGGGAGGAGCATCTTGGGGGTTTATGGATTGGTCATTCTTTAAATGACTTTATTTTAGTCCATGATTATTATTTTTTTAAGTGCACTTCATCCAATCAGCAGCACTTAAATGAAAGTGACACTGAACTGTACATAAACAACACCAAACATTAGGAAAAAGCTGCAAATTCAGGGATTTTAGGTTGTTTTGCAGGCTGGCAGAAGGCTGTTTATACATGAGGAATTTAGGATTTCAGGCTACTATTTTCAGGACTACTAAGAGCCACAAGCTCCCCAATACCCGCTTTACCCCTTGGACATTGATCCACGTTTACTAATTAAAACTGGGACAACTGATGTTTTTACTACTCCCATTTGTCCACCCACCACTCTCACATAGACAGTTAAAGACAGGGAGGACAGGTTTTGGGTTACAGCCGGGTGTATTTAAGTAAATCTGTTTACTAACATGGTGGGCTGTAAGTGCAGTGGTAAACGTGACACTGTGCTGTACTTGAGGAGTCACAAAACCTGCAGGTGATGAGGTGAACTGGAGAAGCAGTCTGACCAGTACTGTAGTAACCATCATCTAACCTATTATCATCTAACCTATTATCATGTATTAATTGGCAGTCTTTGGAAAAACACAGAAGGAATTAATGATGAAAGGATGCAGAGGACACAAGAACCAAGGCAAGCCATACATCACCTGAATATATGACAAAACATATTACAAAAACCCCACAGCTCTCAGAATATTTAACTGTTCAGGCAAGTTCTAGTGGGTATAAACAAACACAAACTTTCCTTAGCATCTCTGTAAAATGTAATTCTGTGTCATTTACGTCAGATACAAGTACATCTGATGACTGAGTGTGCAAAGACATGGCTGTACCTTTTGAGAAGCATCTAATCTCCAGCTGTACAGCTATGCACTTTATCATTAACAGAAAGACCCAATGTGCTCTTTTAAATCCAACTAAAACCAATCCCATAATAACTCCAAGGAAAGGTGAAGCTTACTAGATCAGGACGACACTATGGGTTAGACAAAAGCCTTAAGGGAGAAAAAACTGCTTGAAAAATTAACACAAATCCTCTCCATGAAAGTTTTGTGTCTGCAGCCAGTCAACATTTGTCCAGAGAGGGGCAACAAAGCTGATGAAGGGTTTGGAGTGTATGTTCTACAAGGAGCAGTTGAGGGAGCTGGGGTTGTTTAGCCTAAGAAGAGGAGGCTCAGGGAAGACCTTATCACTCTCTACAACTACCTGAAAGGAGGTTGTAGCCAGATGGCTACAACCATCTGGCTTCTTCTCCCAAGCAACCAGCAATAAGACAAGAGGACATGGTCATAAGCTGTGCCAGGGAGGTCTAGGTTAGACACTAGGAGGAATTTCTTCACAGAAAGAGTGGTTAGACATTGGAACGGCCTGCCCAGGGAGGTGGTGGAGTCACTGTCACTGGAGGTGTTTAAGGAAAGACTGGATATGGCACTGAGTGCCATGGTCTAGTTGACATGGTGGTGTCAAGAGGTCTTTTCCAACCTAATCGATTCTGTGAATCTGTGACATTTTAACAATTCATCTCAACGCACAAGTCACATATGAAAGCTGAGGCTTTCAGCCTCCATCCTAAAAGCACAAGTAACACAGTAAGCAACACAAATGTCACCCACGCTTTGCGTGGTTAATCGCTGTTTCAAAGCAACGCGATCACCCGCCGTAAGAGCGCCCAGGCAGCCCGAGCCCCGTCTTTTGGGGCTTAAGTGATGATGTGCTGATTCCCCTCTCTACCTGGTGGGAAAGTCCTGCTGCCCCCGGGCTCTCCCACGGCTGTCGGTGGGAGCGCTTCTGTCACAGCGCCCCCCGGAGCTCCCTGCTCCCGTGGCCCGGGGACACAGAGCCTTTCCAGCCAGCGGGGAACCCGCCTGGCCACGGGGGGCTCGCCGGGCCCAGCGCAGGCTCCGAGTGGGCCTCCCCGGCGGGATCCGGGGGCGCTCAGCCGGGAGGCCCCACGTCCCCAAGGCCAGCCCCGCGCCCGCCTCCCCCCCGCACGCATTATCGCCGCCGCCCCTCGGCCCGGCTGCCGGGCACTCACCGCCGAGGAAGGTGCCGAGGACGAGGCATTTCTTCTTGTGCCGCTTCAGGAAACTCCAGAGGGACCGGAGCATCCTGCGCGCCCGGCCCGGCCGCCCGTCGGCTCCCGCGGCGGCGGCGGAAGGGGCGGTGGCGGCAGCGGCACCGCCTGCGGTGCCCCGGAAACACCGCCCGGGCCCGGCATGGCGGAGGAGGGACTGGGGCAGGGACTGGGGCAGGGACAGGGAGAGGAGGAGGCGGCCGCGCTGGCCTGGATGGACCAGGCGCTCGACGTGGTCAGTGCGGGCGGGGGCTCCCTCTGTCCGGGCAGCGGGGAGGGGGCGGGAGAGCGGGGCCCGGCGAAAGCCCGTCCGTGCCCCGCGCCGCGGTAACGCGATCCCGTGCCCCCCTCGTGTCTGTCTGTCTGTCTGTCTGTCTGTCCCGCAGGCTAAAGAGGCGCTGGAGAAAGGGGAGGTTCCCGTGGGCTGCCTGCTGGTGTACGACGGCGAGGTCATAGGCAGGGGTAGGAACGAAGTCAACGAGACGAAGAACGTGAGTTGGGGTCCCCCCGGGGACGCCGTGTCTGGGGCATTGCTGTCCCGCCCTGCCCTGCCGTGCTCTTGTCCCTTTACTGAGTCTCAGACGTGCTCTCTGGAGGCCTTTAAAGTCACCTGGGGGTTAAGAGTGAGAAAAGCGTGACTCGTGCAGCCTTTTCTGCTGAACTTCTTTCCATAGACGCTCCAGAAACAGTTCATTTTGTTAGTAGACTGATGTTTTCATGCGATGTGGTGCGGCTGTTTGAAAAGTAAAGTAAAGTAATGGCCAGTCTTCGCGAGCGAAGATTTTTGGGAAAGGTCATTAACCCTTCCAGCCTGCGCAGTAGATTTTTTAGGTGAGACACAGCGTGCGCTGAACTGAGCCCACCCTTTAGTCCTGAGGTTCATCTGCCGGGGCCGAGCAAAGCTTGGACAGTGGCAGTGAGGTCCCCAGGATGTAGGTTTGTTTAGAGTGACCTTCTCTTAGGTGGATTGCCTTCCACGGCTGACGAGCTCCACCTGCCCAGGGGGCCGGGAATCGAACCCGGGTCGCAGAGGTGAGAGTCAGGCACTCTAACCACTAGACCACCAGAAAAGTACCGAACTCTAAATTGGAAACCCAACTCTCTTGCTTTTCTAGGAAAAATTCCATACAAATAAAGGAATAAGTAATGAAGATGCAGAGGAAGACAAGCAGTTGGGAAGTTGTGTAGACTTAAGGAATACGTAGAGTAACCACATGTCACATTTAGTTTACAAAAATTCTTCCTTTTGACCAAATTCTGCTTTCTAAAAGATATTGCCTGTAAATTTTAGACATGTTGCAACTTTAAGCATCAAATTAGATCTTATACCTGCTGAGAGACCCATTAAAGCCAACAGGGATTTTGTACAACTGGAAGTTTTGTATAAATGAATCTGATTGCAGGATCTGGCTGTAGTTTATATTAGATGTCTCAAATCTTAAAATATAATGTAAAGTGAAAATTAGTCTTTTAAGCTCAAAAATGTTACAGTAAAGATGAGTCATTATACTAATTTGTGATACAGGACAGTTGTATTAAGATGATTCTAATACTACTTAAGAAAGCCAGATAACTGAGAAGCTAGGTATCTCATGTTACACTGTTGTAAACACTGTGGGAAGCAGACACTTTGTGGGAAAAATCATACCTGAGATATTAATACTGTGTAAAAATCATATGTTAATAGAACATAACTGACAACACTGCTAACGAAATCATAATCAATTTAAAAATACCAGGAAACTTTCAGGTTTTCTTGATATCAGGATTGTCTGAATACATACTGAATACATACTAAAATGCAAGTAGCCTGATTTTAAAAGATTCAGCTGCATTTTGGAAACAGTAATCTGCTAATATCTTTGAAAGCCAAGCCTTTATTGAACTGCCGTTTAGCTCAACTTTCAGTTCTTTTGTGGCTTCATTTTCATAAATGTTTATATTACAGTGAATGGAAATGCTGGGTACTTAGTGCTTCTAAATATTTTATCAGATACTTAATTGCTCCATATAAGCAATTTCTAAATTTCCATATTTCTAAAAGAAAATATAAGCTTGCAAGAAGTACTTGCTAGGAAATGTGAATGCAGAAAATTGTTTTCAGTTTTCTTCTAACGGCTTCTGGCATTATTTAGGGACAATCCTTGGGAAAAAACAACCCTCTTGAACCATCGAGGCAGTTCCAGCAGACATCATAAATGTCAAGGTTTGTTTTAAAACTAATTTCTTGTCCCACCTTATATTGAAGGACTTCTCCAGAACATCATTCCTCAGATGGGTAAAAAACATCTGATTTCCAGTTTTAAACGTTTTGTGTTCTGTTTATAGCTCTCTGTTCTTGTGCCAGCATCGTCCATTATTTTACATAGCTTGGATGTATTTAAAGTCTTATTCCCCTTTGGCTTTTGTTTTTCCCAAGCCAACTGTTTAATTTCCTTTCAGAAGGCAGGCTTTCTTTCTGTGTTCATTTCAATAATGCTTTTATATAGCCATTCCAGCTTTGATTCATCTTTCTTGAATTCACTTAACCAGAACTCTATACTTTATTCCAGATGGAGTTTCTCTTGTGCTTTGTTTGATGACAATAATACCTCCCATTCTCCCTGGAAGAAAGTCCACTGATCTTTTCCAGAGCTGCTTTGATCTTTTATGTTGCTGTTTTGTTATTCTTCATTTGTTACCTTGAATCTTTTTTTACTCCTATCCAGAAGACCATTCAGCTCTTGAGTGACATCTGACCCTGTCACTTCTCATGAAGTCTCTCATCATATGAAAGACATCACATAGTCAGCTGTAGGTGTTTCTCCAGTTAATGCTGATGTCACAACTGAAAACATTTAAGCAAAATGATCTTTGAGTGTCTTTGCTAATTGGTTCCCTCTGGACAAATATTTTCCCTGTCAATGCAACATCTCTTCTTGCTCACCCTACCTTTCTTGCACTAGGCCGTTTTCCCCAAACTCACAATAATTTCACAGGTTGTACCAGATGCATTGTAGAAGTCCAGAGAGGTGAGACTGCTGTTTCTTTTGCCTAGAAAAAACATTTGTCAAAGAAAGTACTAGGTCAGTTTAGTGTCAGGTATCTTACTGATTTTTTTGTTTCATTTGCCTTTTATAAGCATTAGTTTGTTAGCTTGTTTTTCAAAGTTTGTTATCTTGCCTGTTTTGCTATTGAGTCTCTCATGGATCTCCAGGTGTCAGGACTGTGCATCCTTCTTATTTTTCGATACAGTGACTCTGTTTGCTTTGACAGGTTTCAGCCATGCAATACTCTCCCTTGATGTATTAAAACGTTGCTATGATACTGGCAGCCTCATGCACAAGTTCATGAGCATTTTTTGATGGCAGTGCTTTATCAACTTGGGGGTTTGCTTCTCATCCCTCTTCTACGCCCTAGGCAATTTCTTAATTTTAAATACCTAATTCTGTGTCTCATACACTGTAATTTGTGCTTTCATACTCTTATTCTGCCTTCTGATCACATTCTCTGCATCATTTTTATTGAAAACACAAATTATTCATTTTGTTTTGGAGTAGTACTATAATTATATTTGAGCCTCATCTCAAGGTCACTGTAGTAGTGCTAACTCCTTTTTGACGTGTTTTCTCTCAAGGTATTTTTACTTCTCTCAAGTGATTTTTCCTTTAGCCTTTTCTTTCTGACCTCCAAAATGTAGCTTTATAATATATTGACTTTTTTAACTTATTGAAAACTTTCTTCCTGATTTTAAAAAATGATCATTTATCCAGTTAGATCTGCAGTCCTTTCCTACAATTCTGCCCTTGCTCAGGAATCAACTTGCCTCTAGCCCTTGTGTCAAATAAATTCTGCCTTCTCCTTAAATAGGTCCCTGCATCCTCAGATCTAACAGACTGAAGTTAGGAGCAGATAGCATCTTCTTTATGCCCTCTTTCATTCTGTTCCTAAACTGCTCATTTTGGTAAGAAGATTTAGTTACTGAAAACTCTCCATTATTTTCAGGCTGTCTCCTGTCACCCTGCATAGTTTCTTTCTGCCCTGTACGTCCGTAGTAGGACATGTTAATGTCAGAGGTACTGCCGCTTACTCTGTGGAAGTTATTTGCAAAATTATTGATCATCCCATTCTTCTGGGAAAAGTTGCTTTTGGAAGAAGGGAGTTTATATACATCTGTGTTTGTTTTATTTTATTTTTAAAGAGCATGGCTGTGGCATCAGCATTTCAAAATGCATGCCATTACTTGTCTTCATTGGGCAATAGTGTAACAAATGCCTGCGTAAGACAGTGGTTTTCAACAGCCTGGCGATTCATTCACGAGCTTGTGCCAGTACTGTGTTCCCTCTGGCAGCTCCCACACTTGCTTGTTCACAGTCTTGCCTCAGACCATCCTGAAAATTTTCTTCTTTATAGCATATGTGACCCTTCCCAGCTACAAACATTTTTTTGGCATCTTTATTCCCATGTGTGACGCAATCATTCACTCCCCAGTAGAATGCTCTCTGTCTTAGTTCCTTAGTCAATAAAAAAGGCTATCTAGTCATAGCTTAATACAAAATAAAATCTTAAGACAGACCTAGAAGGTGGTTTTTCCCCATATTTTGTCTTTAAGGGGTATCTTCAACAGACATGTAAGGAAGGAGCTCAAGAAACAAGAAGAGAGTAGTGTAAACCTTCCCCTTGCATATCCTTTCCACTTCTGAAAGTGAATAGGTTAGGGACTTCCAGAGCCCAAGACTATATCTGGATCATTGTTTCTGATAGCTGTCTGTGCACATATCCTCCATGAATTTGTCTAAACCTTTCTTGAACTCATTTATGTTTTTGGCTTCCATAGCATCCTGTGGCACCGAGTTTCACAATTTAATTATGGGCTTTGTGAAAGAGTACTTCCTTTTGTTTGTTTTATATCTGCTGCCTGATAATTTCATTGGGTGCCTACTTGTTATGAGAAGTAATAAATCACAATTATAACTGTGATTTTCCACATTTTTCATGATTTTTTAAAAACCTCTACTGTAGTCCTCTTAACTTAGAAAACTAATTACTGTATCTGGTGAGTTAAGAGCCATAGTCTAATTAGTCTCTGAACAGTCTCTTTACTGTTCTGTAACTTGGATAATCCTTTCTCACTGTGAGGTGAATTTGTCCTGGTGTTCCCATGTCTTCGTGATGTGAGATGACCAAACCAGGGTGTATTACTTAAAATCTGGGTGCAGTGGGATGTAATAATATTCCATATTAGGGTAATCTCTTTTGTGGAGCTGTCTTGTATTACTGCAGAAGCTGATATGACCTGCAGCATGGCTTTTCTTAACTTGTGCTCCCAAGATCAGCAGAGGCCTGAAAGCTGCTAGGTGTATGCAGTATAAAGCAGTGTCTGAGGATAGAGGCATGTTTTCCTCTGGTAAAGAAGGCTTATTGCTTACAGAGGTGAAAAGCCAATCTGGTGAAAAGCCAATGTGGTGTTCATGTCTATTTTAATCTGAGGGGCATAAAAATAGAATAGCCACCACTTACACGTTTGAGTTACAGTAGCAGTGCTAGTTCTGATGTATCTTCTGGAGGGCATTGTGCTTTGTGTCTCCATAAAGTGTGTACACTGAGATTCCAGCTGATGCGATCTCATTTATTCAACTAGGGAACCTTCATGGCAACATTTCACTAGTAGGTCTGGAAAGATCATGTCTGCATATTGATTCAGATCCGTGTTCTTACTCTGAGTGGGTTCATTACTATGTTAGTTCAAACTACAAATGCACTCCCAGAATAAATTTCTTGATTGTGTCTGCTTACCGTTTGTGCTTCCTGCTTTGGTTTGTGTCTCGGAGATGGCAAGCTGTCTTCCTGGCAGATGAAATTATGCTGAGAAGATGCACCGGGGGAGCATCCCAAATGCACTCCAGCTGTTGCCACAAATACACCGTCCGTGGGACTAAACTGGATGTAGGCCACTGTGAACATCCCTGAATTGGTGCTGAGTCCTCAGCAATGTTTTGCTGTACAGATACACTCCTCTTGGCACTGCACTGTTTGTTAATGTAGGCAAAGGCAACATAGATCTCTGTAGAAGTTTTAAAACATTTTTAAACAGTATTAAACTTAGCAATAAGTTACAAGTCCTCTGCCATTTATTGTAGAGCATCTCACTGTTATCACTACAGATCTTCACAGTGCTAAAACGTTAACCCAAGTTCACGTGTTGAGGGAAAGTTATCTAAGGTCACATGAAGCAGAGGTACAGGTATAATTGGGATTGATTAAATATTAGTCTAATGCCTGTGTCGAAAACATCCTTTTTTCAGATTAGAAAAAAAGAAGGAAAACACTAGCAGTCTTAATTCAAATAAGCATCAGGCTCTGTAACTGGAGAGTCCCTTTATAACTAGTACTTTGTGGTATTTTTGCTGTGATGTTTGGTTGGCATAACAGTGCTGCAGACATTTCAGAGCGATACTGGGAGATTACTAATTGTTTTTGTCTCTCTGCAATTAAAGTCGACACTTCTGTTTAGGTTTCTGTGCCATAGGTACTGAGATACTAATCATTCTGTTATCTTGGATTAAAAAAAGAGAAATTAATATTATTCTGCCTTTTTGTAATCGGGCATATGCTCAGTCCCTCTCTTGAGGGACTTATTGTACTTGTATGTATTCCCAGGCAGCAGTAAACCTGATGCAAACTGAAAATACTGTGTCTACACAGCATGCCAAGCTTTTCCAGAAACATACTGAAGTTATTGCATATTCACAGTGCATTCAATCCGTGAGGGCACAGTAACATTGTCAGAGGGAGGAAAAGGTACCAGCTAGGAGCACTTTTCTAACATTTCCAGAGAAAGTAACCCAGTCTGCATTCTTGCTCTTGGAAGCACAGTGGACTATGGACTAGATCAGGTGTTCTAGTGGGCTTTGTATGTCCCTTAAGCTTCAAGTAGAGCTTTCAGCTTACTATGCTGACATGACTGGGAGAGGAGAACTTCTGAGCAGGTTACTCTGTTTAGGAACAGGTAGAAGAAAAAACCGGTTTGCACTTGTGGATCTTGTGTGCTGCACACTAGTGACTGAGGTTGAGGTTGGATATGTTCTTTCTTGGGCTGAGTATTTCTTCTGCAGTTTGGGCAGCATGAAATTTCTTTTGCAACTTGAACCAGCAAAGACCATTACATTACTTCTGTAACAAAAGTGAATAAATGCAAACTTTCAGAAAAGATTTATTTTTATCTCCTAGGCTACTCGACATGCAGAAATGGTAGCGATCGATCAGGTCCTTGACTGGTGCAAGCAACACAACAGAGATTATACGGAAGTGTTTCCACAATTGGTATTGTATGTAACTGTAGAGCCCTGTATCATGTGTGCAGCTGCTGTGCGCTTGATGAGTATCCTTTCATGCTTATTCACACTGGGAAACCGTATGTCAAGGCATTACTCTTTTGGCAGTGAGCCCACAGAGAAGGGCTTGACGCTATCAGGGAAAGCCAAAAGGGGTGGTCTGAGGGTCTGCACCCACCTCCATTTACTGCATGGTGAATAGCGGGAGACTCAAGAACGAAAGAGAAATGGTGCAATTACGACAAACAGCTGTTTCTCTTGGAGATTAAAAATATGTTTTAGAGATATCTGTTAGTAGGTAAAATGAGCGATGCTCAGTTCAGTGTTCAGTTTTTAATGTAACAATTGGTAAACTGTGTATTTTTATTCCTCAGCTTTGTGATTCATGCTTCTCCTTTTCCGGGGAAGGCTGGATGTGCACCTTCAGCAATACATCTTACATTGCTCAGAAGTAAGTTCTGATTTTATGAGGCAAGAATTGCAGCTCAAACTAATTTAGTTTGAAAAGTACAAGCACATCTTAGTGAAATTTAATGACTACTTAAATCAGGCTACTGTACTTCCTACTTGCTTTTCACTTTAACTTAATACCTTGACTCATTCCCATAAATTCCACGGGTTGTATATGGTTGTCGAAATGAGCGATTTGGAGGCTGTGGCTCAGTTTTGAGCATCTCATCTGATGATATGGTGGACACAGGAGACCCATTTGAAGTAAGCTGTGAAATGTTTCCTTTTGTTTTTCAGCTAGGGTGCTGTGTCTGGCTTTGTTACCAGGCTTTGAGAATGTTATGCATCATGTTAAGAGGACTCAGATGGAAGATGATCAAAGTCAAGTAAACTTGACTTAATAAGAAAATAATGTAAAACACATTAGGTCCCTAAATAAAAGAAAAGCCTGATGACAGTCTTAAATGATTAAAAAGAATGTATCAAAGGGGAAGGGAATTATATTCGTGGAACAAGGTAAGAATTAAATAATCTAAAATATGTGTAATACTTAGAACAGTAAGTGTAGGCTGCAGGAAGAGACGAGGGAAAATTGTTTTAAAATGCAGAATGTATAAACACATAATCAATAAAGATCAAGTAACAGCAACTTACCAAGTTACTGTTTTTTTAGCTGAGCCATTGGAAGTGATTGTGTTTTTGCTTACAGTTTGTCTATATATGAGGTAAAATGCATTAGCTTAGACTTACTTCATATAGTTTAAATCCCAAAATAAATCTGGACTGCACAAGTATCAGAGGAGATTTAGTTTAGGTATCAGGAAACTTTCTGAACAGTAAGGATACTGGAGGACTGGAACAGTCTGGGAAGAAGGAGGCCTCTTTGTCATGTAAGAAAGGCTGGACAAGCATTCAGTGGACGTATAGTATACATAAATCTAAATGCTTCACGGCATTGTACTGCTATACCTATATACCCACACATACATATAGAGAGTATTTATAGCATTATCATTGTTACAGTTGTTGATGATCCTGCCTTATACAATGATACCGATTAGGGTTCTTGGAGTTCTTTTCCACACTTCATATTTATGATTTAATGAATGTAAAAACAAGTAATATATTTCAGCATTTTAAGTAAGCACTGAAAACTCAAGGCTCAAAAGAATTTAATTCAGCAAGACAATACTGTTTGGCACTCCAGTGTACATGTATTAGGTGTCTTTCTGTCGGGGTGTTAGCGAGACTAGCATCTGAATTAATTTGTATAGTCAGTACTGGAAGAGTGTTCATTTGCTAACATTGGCATGTGGTATTTAATTTTTTTATATGTTCAGAAGAAAGAAAGGAGAAGGTTCTTGCTGCTGCAAATCCTTCCTTTGTTTCTGTAGGCAACTGCAGTGGAATCTATGGGAGTAACTAATTACTTTCTGTGCCGGTGAAGATTCGTTTAGTGTGAATGACATCCAAATGCTTTGTCATTAGTGTTCGTGGCCTGGAAAAGTATTTTGGCAGGACCAAAAAGGTCTGAGAGATGACTGTTTGGTAAAGAATAGGTGTGTGGATGAATGTTTTCTGGCAGGAATCTCATTTACAAATACCTAGCTGTATGTCTCTTATTTCCAAGTGCCTGAGGAGTATATGTTTGAAATACATTAATAAGAAAGAAATTGTAGGTTGCATAAAAATTTTACAGAAGTTACTAAGAAAGTTTGTTTTAGGGAAATTATTTACTCTACTAAGCCTCTACTTTGTATTTTTCAAACATGAGGTATTTAACCTGAAAAGGAGATTTTTCTGACCCGTAAGTTGACGGTACAGTTGCTTAAAATTATTGTGTACTTGAGGCATTATTGTGAAGTATGGAATATGTTATTCTCAGATATGCTCACTAACATCATTCTAATTTGAACAGTGCACTTCTGGCTATCGTGCCGAAGAAGCGGTGGAGTTGTTAAGAGCTTTCTACAGACAAGAAAATCCCAATGGTAGGTTTTACATTAATTTTGTATCCATTTTGATCCCTACCTAATTTAAAAGAATGATGGCACTGGTATTACTGTAATTCACTTCTGATAATTTTTCTCCCTTTCTGTTTCTTCTTGGCAGCACCAAAATCAAAAGTAAGGAAAAAGGATCGTCGTAAGTAGACGCACTCGGGAGGGAGAAAGAAACTTACCAAAAAATTATATGTGAAGGTTTCTTCAGTGTCCTTGTGTAAAATGTACAGTTCAATCAAACTATGTCTGATTTTCTGTACGGAGTTTTTACTAATAGGATACTTACTACTTCTTCCTGTGTTTCTATGTATGTGATTTCTTGCTATCATAATGACCAAAAAAAAGAATAAATGGCTGTTTTTTAGAAAGAGGAAAATTTGTGGTTCAAGTTGTTTACAGACAGATGGATCCATTAAAATGATGGCATTTTGTACAGCACGTTTGCTTAGGCAAGTAAGTAAATCTCTTTAAATCTCTTGGAAGGTTACATTTGTAAGTCCTTTATAGTCCATGTGTGTGTATTGAATCAAAAGGCATATAAAGGAATTATACAGTCCTTGAAGACTTGAGAAAAGACCACTGTAAATGTTTCTTCATTGTTTTTTACACCCCCTCTAGCACAAGCCAGATTTTCAGACATGATTTCTGAAAGTCACATACCTGTGCAGACAGGTACATATGGACGATCACGTCTCTGTGTGTGCTGTTGCTTAATAAGGTGAGCAAACATCACTTGGCTCCACAGCATCTTCATACAAAGTTGTGGAGAAACTCTCTACAACTCTCTTTAGACTGTCCACTCTGCTTGTGAATATTAGTTTAAGAAATGCTTTATTTTTAACAATCCACTAAGAAGTTGAAGCTGTTGTCAGCTACTAAATTATAGTAATTGAGACAGGCAGATACAAATGAAAACCAGGAAATTGGTAATAGCACGAATAAAAAATATTTAAGATGATTATCTTTTCGTGGTGTTCGTTGGCTTTGTCATTTCCATGTACATTCCTTAGCAGTGCAGTAATTTATAATCCAGAAGAGGGCCTTCAAGTTCCACTAATGAATTAAGAATATAAGTACGGTTCAATCTTGATTTTGTACCTCTTAGTGGATAATTATATTAAGCATGAAACTGTTTGTAGTTTATTTGGCTGTTGTTCAGAAATTTGAGAAATGCCCTAGCTTTTATTTTGAATGCAAAAGAGTGGCTAAAATTTTATTATTATAAGAAGTGAATACAATTAAACCTTTTAGATATTTCAAATAAATACTTTCAAAAGTTGGGTTTTTTTAAATATTAAAAGCATTACCTTGTCACATTATTATTCCTAATAACTTACAATTTGTATTTTGTGTATTTACTTATTGTTTACAAAGTGACATGGGGAAAGAAATGTTTTTACCATAATAGCTATTCTCAGAGTTTAAAAATAATATTCCTTTAACTTAAGCCCTTTAACTGACATCAGCGGCCTGTCCTATTCTCCTGACCATTACTTACAGCACTCTTTGAGTCTTTCCCTTTCCATAAACAAAATAAGTTATGACTGTGTTTGTAGATTTCATCTGCTTCAGAGCTCCAAGGCCTCATGAACCAGACAGCTAAGCTGGAAAAACTATTTAGGAAAAGACCATTTTTAATGACTATGATGGCTTTATTGAAAAGAAATGGGCATGCCTGTGCTTGCAGTATGTGGTATTTGGCTGTGATAGAAGATAGCATTCAGTTCTCAACTGGACTAATTTTCTTATACCTTCAAGTCATTGAAGTCCAAATTAAAGGAAGGCATTAGGCTTGTGGCTTGTTACTGACATTAGTGACAGTAGGAATTGGAGCCTTCATACTGTTTTGGACTAGGACCTAAATCTCAACACTTCTTTTTCTTCGGAGGGACTAAGAACACTTTTCTTTCCCGCTGCCTTCTTTCAAAGAAGAATGTTGTTAGCATTTGGATAGTGTGACAGTAGGAGCCATGTAAGTAAGTAGAAAGATTACTGGTAGTAGGACAAAACACACTTTAAAAGCTGTGTCCAATTTTTCAACCCTTAAATTGGAACAGAATTTTTTTGTAATAGCAGTCAGTGGTAACCTGTCACTTAAATAACAGTTCAAGTCTTGCACAAAATGAAAAGAGACTGAAGAGAGGGACAAAAATAAAAATTTCTCTTAAGAGTGATCAAAGACAATAATGTGCATCTTGGAACAGAGGCATGACAGATGAATAGCATAGCAAGATAAAAGCTGTTGTTTTACAGAAAGGTTATAAAAGATACTTCTGTTTACTGTAATGTGTAAGCAAAAAACCACAATGGTCTAATATTAAGAGGCAAATTTGGATGTATAGAACTGGGGTTTTTTGTTTGGTTGGTGGGGGGGGGTTTTGTTGTTTGGTGGGTTTGTTTTTTAGGGGGGTTGTTTGGTTGGGTTTTTTTGGTTGAGTATAATAATTAGCTTAGGGAACAAACTGCTGAAAGATTACCCTGAAAACAAAAATGTGACCCATTCACCTGAAAATCCTATTATGTATGCGAGTAAGAACAAATGCAGATATTTTTATAAAAGAAATAAATCAACTCTTCTTGTGAACACAAGCTGCTCATCAGAGCCATGGCATGATGTCTTGACAACCATCAGGGGTGCAGCTGTCTCCTCCTCGCTCCCCCCAGTCAGTGCTCTCCTTCCTGCCTGCAAATGGCCATCCCACCACGGTAGCAGCAGCTCTGGCAGCAGGAGCCCGCAGAGGCCAGTCTTGTGCCACTGCCCTCAGACATGTGCCTCAAGCAGGTGTCGCAGTCTGATGTGCCACAGCTCTTCCTAACCATGAGTTTTGAGTTTGTCAGTGTTTTTTTACAGTCAGATTGAAAAACCTGAGTGTTCCACAAGAACTTACAGAGATTCTGGGTAGAATGTTCTAAGTTCAGTCTCAGAGAAACCTCTCCATGACTAAGCTCAATGCAGGAACTGGAAGAAGGCAGGAGGCAGCCACAACAATTATAACCTGAGGAGTCAACTGGTTTCAGTTCTCCAGGTCAGAAAATGAACTTAAAAATCAAGAGAATTAGAGAATACAGAAAGAAGAATGTCAGAAAAAGAACTGAACCATTCTTGGAAGCTTATTCAGTGAGAAGATGCTTGCTCATGGCTGTGGAAACATAGGCTTGGTTTGTAACTGCTGCTACCAAGTAAAATCCTGCAGCAAACTGGGTTACACAGCCTGGAAGAAGTGTTGCTGTCTGTTTGCTGGGGACCTAGTGTCAGGTTTTGGCTCTAGCCCTGGAAGAGTGTCAAGAGCAACAACTTTAATTGTTCCTGACACCTGGAAAAGTCAGAGCAGCAGCTTATAAATAACACTTTTCATTTCACAGTGCTTTTACCTATTTTTATCTATTTGTTTCTAGGTTGCCACATAGCAGCAGTATTCAACTGGTTTATTTAAAGAAGTTTAAGTTCTTCACCGTTTTTCCCTTGCTGCTTGATAAATAAACACTTAGGCTTCAGGGTTACATTTACCTTGGACTGCATTTTTACCAGTTCATCACAGGTAAACATGATTTTATTTCAGCCTTCGGTTTGCTTGTCAATAGCTTGACATCAAAATATATTAAACTAGCTAGGAGGGCAGGAAGCAAAACAACATGTCTTTGTCTCTGCTAAACCGATTACAATTGACAATCTAAGGCTATAATAAATACGTCTTGTGACTTGCACATTAGAGGAGAGCCTGAATTTAAATTATAGCTTTGGGTTTTGAAATGCTCACTGATCCATTCCATTCCCATTAAGAGCGCCTTCCGCTCTGCAAAATTAAGTGATCTCTTTACATGACAGTTTAATTTAATTAATTTATTTTTCGATATGTACATTTATGGAGTTTCTCCATTAAGCTTTTGAAATGTCTGTAGGTCCTATGCATTAATGTAAATGCACCATGGCCCATAATTACCTTTGGCAGGCTTAGGGCACTGATAAAAAGATTATATTTTTAAAAACTAAAGTCTTCAAACTTTCTCGGTGCTTGGCAGGAAATCTATTTCTGTGTTTTATTTGGAGCAAGGCTCGGGAGCCTGCAGCCAACAACTCCAGTGTAGGCAGTGACTGTTACATTTTAGAAGAAAATACATTTGAGGCTAAATGAGAGAAGGGGAGAGGAAGAGAATTAGTGCAAGAGTACTAGAAGCAGCTGTTTGTTTTGCTTTGTGACTGCCAATATGTACTCTTATCATTAAAGTGCATCTAGAGGCAAGGTATTTTCTATGAAATTACCTTGCAAAACATGGATCTTTGTCTTTTTAAGGGACTGCCCCAAAGGGGTTCATCTTCCTTTTTCACAATAGCTTTGCACTAGCCAAGAATACTGGATTCTCCCTTTGCCTCCTCCTCCCTCCTTTCTAAAAATGAACTTTTCAGGGAAATATGGAATTCAGAGAAGTTTGAAGGAGAGCAGATGGCCAAGAGTGATCCAATAGGATGTAAAACTTCAGTTAGGTAGTTGCTTGGCAGGCAAGGACAAGCGAGCCTGTGATGTTTCCATAGTGATGTTTTTACATGGTGCCTTCCTTTTGTCTTTTAAAAATCTAAGTGATTTAAAAAAAGAAAAGGGGGGGTGGGGTGAGGGTAAAATAATATGAAGGGCTCCACCAGGGGCAGAGACTTGGGCTCATCTCTGATTTCTGCATGAACAGTGATGCACTGTCCTCAGCTACAGTCGCACACATCAGCCTCAGTTGCTGTGGTGCTTGTCTTGCTGGATAAGGCAGGGACAGCTTCTGAAATTAAGATATATCTCAGAATGTAGTGCTCTAGGAGGGGCAACTGTTTAGGCACTGATTTTTGTGGTGTCAGGTTTTCACGTTTACCTGTGGAGGAAGGTTTGCTGTGGCACTTCTCTAACCTTCAGAGCTTTCTCTACATGCAAGAGGCAGTGCAATAAAAATTAATGCTTCCTGTGACTTTGATTCCTACTTTCTCCTTTCAAGCCTTAGAGGTAGCCATCACACTCATATTAATTTGTGAGGATATAAACAACAGCCATTATCTGTATGACCACGCTGCGCAAGAGAAACAAGGTTTGTAGGGAGAGGCAATATCTTATTAAGCCAAATGACAATTGGAAAAAAACAGGCAAGCTTTTCAGCAACCAGCTGTAGGGACGCCGAGTTCAAAAGCTTACCAGCTTTTTCCACACACTTAATGAAAGTAAAACGAAGATTAGTAACTATGTACCATCTCCTTGCAAAACCTGCTTTTCTTGGAGGAAAAAAAAAAGGACAGATTTGTCTATCAGCTGGTTTGAGCAGGAAAAGAGGTTTGTTAGGAGACTGGACTCATGGTAAACTCTGCTTCTAACTCTCCAGCAGAACCCTCCACTGCCTCTGTACAGATGTGTCAGCACATACGCCAGCACTTTGTGAGAACCCAATGCAATTTTCCCTTCTCGAAAGCTTCCCAGCAAGGTGCTGAATGCAGCAGCTCATTTACTGACCCCCTCGCCCTAGAGCAGGGATACTCTGCTGAGGAGAAGCAGGTTCCTATTGGGGGGTGCTGTGGGACAGCAAGAGTGGTTCACGGTACCTGTGGTTTAGGAATCCCAGGATGAACTGCCCTGAATGCTGTGGTACAAGCAAATGAAGTCAGTTTATCCTGGGAACAAAGTTACCTGGCTGCCCTTCTGTGCTACGGCCTCGCTCGTATATTACTAAATCTGTCCCTGGAGACAGCAAATCCTTCTTTCTTAAAGAAATTAATTTTCTTGCCCTCTGCAACTTTTTTGCAGTCATGCTGTGCAGCACTTGTACCAGCAGCAGCCTGAATGAATAATTCAAAATGATACCTCTTTAGTGCACTTTTAAATATCTAACTGTGTTAATCCCGTCAGGGTGCTCCATCAGGATGCTCAAGCTGCCAGGGACAAGGCTGAAAGCTCTCAGCCATGATTACTCTCAGCCACAAAACCTTGATTACTTACAACA